CTGATTCTAAAGAATCCATCAATTATCTGTCACTCCCAGTTTAAAACTTCAGTTTCATTCATATCCACCCAATTATTCTTTCAATAAATGTCTTTATAATCAGAAAGCATAAATTTGAACTTGTCAAACACATGCATGCTCATAAAAATGCCATTTTTATGTTTTATAAATTGCCTTTCCACAAAACTACATTAGAAAGCATTAAAAAATAATTGCTTTTAGGAGTCACAAGGGGTAAGTCTCAATTCTCTCTCACGTGATGCCCTTAACATATTAACAGTAACTCTAATGAACCTGAGAGGGGCTTTGGTGTGTATGTAGTCCAGCCTCTGATTTTGATTGCTTTGTGAGCCAGGGCCCAGAGAAGTTAAGTGAGTCTCTCGAACGTCACACACTTGAATAAGAACTGAGCCCGAAGAACTCAGGGCTCTCCTACAGGGAGTGCTGCCACATGAAGTACTCCACCTGAGCACTGAACTGTGTCTCTCAATTTACGCAAACATTTGTTGATGTGGCATGATGCCCCATCAAGTGTTATCCAGATGCGAATGCAGGTCAAACTATTTATTTTTGAGATTTAGCTTTCTTATCTGTAAAATCAGAGCCAATAATGCCCACCTTGTTGCTCTATAGGTAACGTTAGGCCCATTGTTCTTTGGCCTTAAAATGAACAAATTCAGATTTACTGCATTCAGATTTCAACCTATACTTCTAGATCAGGATTTAGCAAATTATGGCCCAAATCCAGCCTGGCACCAGTTTTTTGTATTTGTTTTTCTTTTTTAATATATTTTATTGATTTTTTACAGAGAGGAAGGGAGAAGGATAGAGAGTTAGAAACATTGATGAAAGAGAAACATCGACCAGCTGCCTCCTGCACACCCCTTACTGGGGATGTGCCCGCAACCAAGGTACATGCCCTTGACCAGAATCGAACCTGGGACCTTTTAGTCTGCAGGCCGACGCTCTATCCACTGAGCCAAACCGGTTAGGGCTGTATTTGGTCTTACTGGAGTACAGCCACAATATATAAGTTCACTTATATATTGTTTATGGCAGCTTCTGGGCTACAACAGCAGAAAGGACTAGTGACAGAGACCTGATGACCCCAAAGCCTAAAATACTACCTTGCTGTTTTCAAAAAAATTCTGCTGTTCTAGATTTTTGAAATCATGTGAAACCACTCTTGATTCTTTCATCTGCACTATCATTCAATATCTCTTTCACTGAGTCACCCTCACATTTGTCTGTATTCAAGTGTTTCATGAGATATGGGCAAGGAGAGTCACAGGACATAGCACTCAAGACTGCCTTGATGGTTGACAGTGATTACTACTGGCTGGACAGCTATCTGAAGAGCTATGAATCCACTCAGTGATACCATCACCCAGTTCTCATTTATCAACAATGTCATGTATTTGTTACATGTTTTCCTAATATGCAAAAGATGAGGTACAGATTCCAAGTGGATTCAAGCCTTTGTTATTTCTCTTTTTTAAAAAAAATATATTTTATTGAGTTTTTACAGAGAGGAAAGGAGAGAGATAGAGAGTTAGAAAGATCAATGAGAGAGAAACATCGACCAGCTGCCTCCTGCACACTCCCCATTGGGGATGTGCCCGCAACCAAGGTATATGCCCTTGACCGGAATCGAACCTGGGACCTTTCAGTCCGCAGGCCGACGCTCTATCCACTGAGCCAAACCGGTTTCGGCAAGCCTTTGTTATTTCTATCTCCTTCAATTCCATTTCAACTCCATTTTTAAAATTTGAATTATTCATCTAACTACAGTTTTTTGGCAGACCTTGTAGAGATTAGTCAGCTGTCATCAAATCTGATTATTCTTCCTGGGCACACTACATTTCTCAGTTTTATTTTTTCCATTGGGTGCCCAAGTGACTGGTTTTTACCCAGTGGAAGGCTTGCAAAGGTGATATATGCTACTTCCCAACCTGGCCCACAAGAGCACCCCATTGGTAGCCTTTCATGTTCTTTTTCTTTCCACAGCCAGGAAAAGTGAGCATGGACACCTGAGAAGCCGTTTATTAAAGATGGCAGAGCCACAAGATAGAAGGAGCCTGGGTCCCTGAATCCACTCTTGGAGGAGAGAGACTCACCACCCAGGAACAGCAGTTTCAGATTTGAAAACAAGAAATAAACTTATATTGTATTTAAGCTATTATATATATTTTGATGTGTTTTTTTGTTATAAAAAGGAGTGTAATGCTCACAAGTACACTGGCAGTCCTATAATATTACTACCAAAGTTTCTGTGATCACACATGAAAATGTACTGATGACTCAGCAAGAGGTTAATAATTCCTGTAAAAAGGATATGTGTGATCTATCCTCACCCATTGTAGCTTAAACATTTCCATCGCACAGTTTTGTTTTGCATTTTCTAATAGCTCATTCTTCTTGAGAAAAATAAAGCAAAATAGGCATTACACTTGTTCTGCCTTTGAACAATCTGTTAAACAATGCAGATCTTCCTCAAAAAGAGGGCCTCACACTTCCTTCTTATTTGCCTTTATTCTAGGACTTCCCTTTTCACAGAATGATCCTGCTGCAGTTGCAATCTCTCCTAAGAGCTAACTTCAGAGAACATCTTGTCAAGTCACACTAATTTCTCCCCATTTTGCTTTCTTATGAAAACCCTGACTTCAGCCTGGCCTGTATGGCTCAGTGGTTGAGCATCAACCCACGCATGAACCAAGAGGTCACCTGTTCGATTCCCGGTCAGGGCACATGCCTATGTTGCAAGCAGCTGATTGATGATGTTTCTCTCTTGTTGATGTTTCTATCTCCCTTCCCCTCTAAGAATCAATGAAAACATTAAAAAAACCTATTCATGACTGACTTCATTTGATGTTTGTTTGTTTTTGTGTGTGTGTGTGTGTGTGTGTGTGTGTGTGTGTTTTGGGGGGGGATGCTGCTATCTCTCATGTGGACCTTAATTCTAGTTTATGAAATTGATTTTTTTAAAAAATATATATATTTTATTGATTTTTCACAGAGAGGAAAGGAGAGAGATAGAGAGTCAGAAACATCGATGAGAGAGAAACATCGATCAGCCGCCTCCTGCACATCTCCTACTGGGGATGTGCCCGCAACCCAGGTACATGCCCTTGACCGGAATCGAACCTGGGACCTTTCAGTCCACAGGCCGACGCTCTATCCACTGAGCCAAACCGGTTTCGGCCCAACCTACTTTTCTATAACCCAATGATCAAATGTAGTTTGAGTTTACTCCCTCTCTTCATTGTTAAGGCATACCAATTATCTGATACTTTTCTCTCAAACAGCTTTGGCTACACATTTTAGGACCTTTGGAAAATCCCAATGCTCAGACCACACTCAGATCAATGAAATCCTCTCAGAGATAGGATCCACACAGTGGGAGGACACCCCCCAGCCTTTTCAACGTGCAGCCCCAACTGAGAATCACTGCAGGGCTCCTGTTGTTTCCCTAATACAATCTTTCTTGTTAGTGAAAATCAAGTCCAGAGGCCAATAAATATTATGACACCATCTTGTAAGGGGTTGCTAGACAGTAATAACAGACATATATCAAGTGTTTATTAGGCCTGGCATTGTACTAAGGGCATTTCATACATTATTTCCTTTAGCTCTCACTTCACACTGTGAGGAAGGTTAATGAGCTCTCCTCTGCAAACAAGGTTACATGGACAATTTTGCCTCCTAGTAGGGTTACTAGCTAAAATATAGACCTCCCAGTTAAATTTGAATTTCAGACAAACAACAAATAAATGTTTAGTGCAAGTCTGTACCGAATGTTGTATGGGATATACATATACCAAAAAGTTACTTGCTGCTATCAGAAAATCAAATTTACCTGGGTGTCCTCTATTTTTACTTGCTAAGTCTGGCAAACCTATCACCAGGGAATATTTACAGATATTATCATTATCAAACTAAGGGTGTGTGTGCTACTGGCTTCTAGTAGATTGAGGCCAAGGATTCTGCTGAAGATCCTACAGTGCTCAGGACAGCTCCGCAACAAAGAATTGTCCAACTTCAAATGTCGACATTGCCCAGGTTGAGAAACCCATGTCTAATAGGTGGGGAAACATTAAGCACTCCTATAACCACATCATGCCTTCGGCTGCTTGTATAGTCTATCTTCAGAAAGCCTTATTTTTATGCCACTTACTGATATATCTTTCTGTCGTTTCTCTTTCAGCCCCACATGTTCACTTTCAGCTTCACAATCTATAGGATCCCAATTAAGACATGCTCTTCTCTGAAGCCATCTTTGCACCAATTTGATTTAGCTGCAATTAGTTCAGAGAAATCTTGGACTGAAAGAAAGGTGTGATGAAAGCCCATATGGCAAATATAAGATAGCTACCTGCAAAATAGTTTATTGCTAATAGAATGATGCTTTTTTAGCCAGCAAATCTGTATGTTATTCTATAGAACATGCATATTAGCTTGTCATGAATAAATCTAACTACATTTACTTTATAACATGCATATTTTCTAATTTGATTTTGGAACCTGTAAAAAGCATGCTGGTTATTTTTTCAAGTGTTGTGATCAAACATCGGGTGTATTTGGTACAAAAAGTTATAATTATTTCTTCAAGATTGGAGCTTAAACATTGAATGATGTGCCACATTTGAATTTCAAAAGATTTAAGTTGTCTTCCTCAAATGTAACTTTAGTGCACTCCCTTTAAGTGTTTCTAAAATTGTTTGCAAGGTAACAGATAACAATTTTACGTCCTCAAAAGTTAGAGCTTGTGTTACTTTCCAAAGTAAAGATCACTTGCTGTTAAATATATGTATTTCTATTATTTTGAAATAGAGGATTACTGTGCTTCAAAATCATCACATTCACTACTTATCTCTCCCAAAAAGAAGAGATCATGAATTTCGCATAATATAAAAAGGGCTCTATCCAGAGGTCCACTTGTCCTTAAAGTTTCAATAGGGTTTATCTGCATTAATAAGGGGATAATCATAATGATCATAAAAGTCTAATACACAGTAAATTACAAAACAATTTAGGTGTCCACAAAATTAAAAATCACGCATGTCTAACAATGCGGTGTCCTATAGCAGGGAGCCTCTCGGGGGCTTACCCTAAATTAAAGAAGTGCAAGGAACAGCCCCTGAGTGTCAGCATCTCTGATTCAGAGTCAGATGAAAATTCCCTCCACTATCCGATTACTCATTTATTTCTCCTAATACATATGTGTCTAATGGAAAATCTTAAAATGCTCTGGATTATTCCATAAAATCCAAACCAACAGGCCCAAATATAGTACCATATATAGGAAACACCACTTGTGGTTAAAATGGGAAGGCTTCTGGAAGCAGATTCCTGCTCATCCACTGACTCACTCTGTAAACATGAGGCACCTACTAAACCAGTCAGGCGTCGGTTGTTCACGGGTGAACAGTATAATGTCTGCATCTGGGGAACGCTGGCTTCGTTTATTGGTCTTTGAGAACCACTCTTGGTTTTCTATAGGAAAGAGCCAGCAATATGAAACACATTCTCACAAATACTGCCACTTAAAAACCTATCCAAGTGCTTGGGTTTTTTCTTTTTAATAGCTTAGGGAATCTCTTTTGCTCCTCTTTCCAGAAAAAAGAAAGATATGCATTGTAATGGGTAAGTACATTAAGGGTTTATGTGGTGTTGAAAGGAATTCCTTTGTATATGACAAATATACACCAGCAAAGAGTTTTCTATTGATCACATAACATCAAAAGGCCTTAGTCTGCAATTACCAGCATAGACTCTCAACAGAGTAAGATGAGTACAGGACTCTGTTAAATACCTGATGTGGATGAGTAGGCAGCTCAGCATTCCATCCGTCAACCATTATAAGGAACTACCAGTGAAGAATGCATGAGAGGAAAATGGGGATGACCAGAGGCACCATTTACCTCTCTTTCTTTTTTAAAACATACTGAAGGCATTAAATCTAAGATCAATGACCCATAATCTTCACAAAATATAACATTAACCAAAGAATGCTTTTTTAAAAGGGAGTTGACAGATTTTTTTAGGTCTTTTGGCTTTTTTTCCCCCTAGACCTAACCTCCGCCCCCCCCCCTTTTTTTAATCAGAGTGGATACCCTTTCTCACTAAGCATTTTAAAATTAAATTTATTGGGGTGACATTGGTCAACATGAACATATACGTTTCAAGTGTGGGTTTCTATGTTACAAGATCTGTATATCGCCCCATGTGCCCACCACCCAAAGCCAAATCTTCTCCTCTCACCATATATTAGGATCCCTTTAACCCCCATCCCTGTCTTCTGGCTTTTACCAGGACTATATCTAAAATTGCCCCCATTTTTATCCTATTTTTAAAATCCTTTGCAGAAAGATTCCCTAATATCCTGTTAAATGATCAAGCCTTTTACAAAAATTTTTACTATAAGAAACTTCTTTCTTTTAGTTATTTAAAAAAATTGTACTTCAAAAACTTCCAGCTCATTTCCTTTGGTATTTAAAAATGTTATAAAAATTCAAACATACTTAAAAGTAGATGGACGAATAGCATGGCTGTCATACAGATTCAACAATTTTCAAGATTTTGCCACATTTGTTATTTTCTTTGCCAAAACTTTTTAAAGCAAATCAAAGACATTATTTTACCCCAATATGCTTCAGTATACACGTCTAAATTTTAAAAGATTTGGACATTGATCATTAACCATTAGGTGCCATTACCACACCTAATGAAATCAGTACTCATTCCTTTGTAGAATTCAAAACCTAGTCCATGCCCGATCTCCCCTATAGGTAAAAATGTCTCTTTGCACGCGGCTTGTTGAATCATGATAAAACAAGGACTACATATTACAATTGGTTAAGTCTCTGGGCATCTAGACCAGTGTTTCTCCAACTCTAGTGTGCAAATGTATCATTTAGGGATTTTAATATTCAGTAGGGTCTGGGGCAAGACCCGAGATATTACCTGTTTAATAATCTCCCAGGTGGTGCCAATATTGCTGGATGCAAAGGAGACCACACTTGGAGCAGTAAGGTCTTAGCAAAGGCCCCACTGGTTTTTGTTTATTTGTTTGTTTGTTTTTGCACACCATGGCTTAATGCAGAAACAATCAGTGATCCTGGGCTATGTCCCATGGACTGAATTTCCGTGTTTGTTTCTGTGTGATATTATTTTACTTGTTCT